GTTGTAAATGTTTTAAATTCGTTTTAAAATTCATCTGAATAATTTTAAAATAAATACAATGTGTAGAAACTATAATTTGATTCAAAACAAATCTAGAAATTTGAATAATTTCTTTTGTATTTTTGGATATTATATTATCGGCTTCTGTTAAAAGGTATAAGAAGTTAAAATATATTGTAATAATGTTTATCTTTCCGCTATTTTTCTTGAAAATTAAAATAATTATAATTAATTTGAGATGTTTATAACAATTTTATTTAGAAACCTCGATTAAAAACATGCCACAGCGCTTAAACATCAACTGGTGTCACCTTATTCGTTCTTTTCCACATGATTAATTAATTTAATTACTTTAATTTTCAAGAAAAATAGAGGAATCATTAACTTTTCTTCGAATTTCACTTGTTTACAACGTCAAGAACCAATATAAAAATACACGTAATTCGATATTTTAGTTTAAATTAATTAATTATGAGATAAAATGTAAATAAGTGACACCAGTTGATGGTTAAGCGCTCTTGTATTTTTCTACACGTTTGTAATTGAAGTTTATAAATAAAATTTCAAATTAGTTATCGACTAAAATATTGATTTAAGAATATATTATACGGATTCTTGACGTTGTAAACAAGTGAAATTCGAAGAAAATTTAATGATTTACGTTTACAGAACTTTTATAAATTGTTTAATTATTGACTTTTCTATTTTTGCAATTCGTTTGTTAGTTTGTTAAGAGGATTAAATTAATTCTATTTTAATAATTGAAATGTTTTAACGTGCCGACAAAGTTAGTCATTTGAGTTTTCGCATGATTTACAAGTTTAATTTCGAATGTATAGNTGTTAAATCTATGCAATTAATTATTTTTAAATTCTTAAGATTCAAGGGATTAAAATTTTGTTTTAACATTTAATTATTGAAAGTAGAAGTATTTTTTTGAAAATTAATAAATAAAAATATGCTTAAACTATGAAAAGAATTGTAATCTTCAGTTTTCTGGATTTGTGCAGTTTGTTTCACATATCTTGGCCTGGCAATGTGCATTACTGGATTGAGTTTGAAGTTTTGGAAAGTTTGAGCCCCTTTTTTAGGCACCATACTGACCTTGTCAAGTTTGTCAAACAATCCATCCCCATCATTAAGTAAACAGAGTGCTGCTATTTTACTTTTACAGCCCAACCAAGATTCGTGAAAGTTTGCTTACAGGTCGTCCCCATATAAAATTGCAAATATTTTAACTATTAATTATAATTACAATTGAACCCCGTTTATACGTTTTTCAAGGAAATGAAGTCGTGTACTTTTTTCTTTACGATGGACTTGTTAGATATCGTATCATTTGTCTCCAGCCGAAACGCCAATCACGTGAAAGAATGAAGTCATTCTATAGGTTATATTCATTATATATTCTATCACGCTGACAGCGAATAGTAAAGACGAATGAAAAAGCGAAATTTTTTGGTGGAGCGATTTAATAAACTGGAAAATTCATCAGAAATGGCCTTGCATATAGGCGTATTCAAAATTTCAGAGCGTTACCAACACCTGTATTCAAAAATCTCATGCAACTTCCGGTTGCTGCCATGGCAGCCACCACGAGACTCTCAAGAGCTCTATTTCGCTTTGGCAATTTTGAATTTATTTGTCGATGAATGTACCCCGAATAAATTAAATAAGTTCAAAAATAAATTTAAGCGTATCGTGGAAGTTCGCGTCATTCGCTATTTTGTTGTTCTTTCTCTGTATCCAGGCAGTTGGGTCACTTCCAGTGGCGCACCCCACTGGCTTTCGAATATGCTCTATTCGTTCTGCTTTTACTGGCAATTTGCTCAGTGTGGACTCTGTTGCCGGATTCCACGACTGGATTAAAGGAAACTTAAAAATAATGCTTCCACTCTACTGCATCCCACTGCAAAAATGAAAATTGAATGAATTTTTATTAAATCACAACATTGTTTTCCCACGTGGTCTAGTGATTTGATATCTGGCTTCTCCAGAAGACCTAGGATCGAATCCGAGCAGTCTGTGAGCCTGACTGACCCCATCCTGAGAAAAAGCTGTGTCTGTAGGACAAAGTGAAAAACAAATGGCCAGTTTCCTATAAAAAAAAAAAAGTCCTTTCCAGAGGCTTTCTCCTCCGTAGATCGCCCACGTGTTACGTTGCCGCAAACGAAGAAAATTACATATAGAACCGATATGAAAAGGGTTTCGGGTTTTAACTATTCAGAACAATTTTAGTTATTTGGAATTATAAAAATCCAGAAACGAGTTAAGTAACATTCCTGGCTGTTAAAAAATATAGCATATTCTCTAAAAGTTAATTATAAGAAATAAGATTGTGTGTGGCTCCATCTGTGATCAGACCGTTACAAAAATCTTTTTATATTTGTAATTATTATGACAAAAAGCTTAATTTGAAAAGCAGAGATGAGTTTCAGGAAAAAAAAACTATATACAGATTTTATTGGTTATTAACATTTAAAATCCTACCTCTCGAGATATGACATGATACCCCTCTATCTCCCCACCCTTCGACCTTTCACGACGAAACTAACAGCATCAATGCTCTTTATACACAAGCTATCGTGCAAAATTTCGTTTTTAAATCTTCACCCATCCTGTGATATTAAATAAAATACATGCCAACACACAAGAATTTTTTTGACGGGTTCAGGAGTCCCAAAACATGGAGATTTGCATAAAACTTGGAGTTTGGCGAGTTCTAACAATGAGGGTAACCTTGGTTTTCTTGGGGGGTTTTTGATCCGGACAGGTAGAAATCTAGTACGTTAAATAATTACTAAATATTTTAATATTGGGCTTCATACGGGTGTTGAAGATGCTGGCTTATTACCGAATTAAAATATCCCAAAATTGAAATTGTTATTGATATCTTGCAAGTATTCAGCTGAACCTTTCTATATTGTTTTGAATATTTATAAAGGCACGTTCAATAGAAAATTGAAAAAGTGCCATTAAAAGTCGGGAGGATGAGCAATATCGTAGTACACCTGTTTGCAATTCATGTAGTCGTCTCCTTACTGTATTTGCACGTCCCAATAGATGTCGATTGGGTTTTGTCAAAAATCACAACAGCGCTCTTACTGTGTGCATTGCTTAAGAAGCACTGCAGTTTTATTGGTCCTTTGGAAATACTGTTGATGCTGGAGAACATAAGACAGTCAAGTTACTGATGCCTCTGACTTGGAAATGTCGTGTGTCAAAATTACTATGATATTCCTCATCCTCCCGGCTTTTAATGACACTCCAATTTTCTATAGAATATACATATGTATCTTATGTTTATCTTTGTACTAGAAATTAGTGTATTATGTTCATTACTCCATTCAATAATTTACAGCTAAATGATGAGAGATCTTTTTAATTCGTAAATTGATAATAGTTACAATATCATTAAGAGTAACTGAAGAGGGACGAGTAATAGATTCAAAATGAACATTGGAACAAAATAAAATAAAGCGAGTTTAGGTCATTCATTTGTGGTCATTGACAAGTTTAGAAGAAAGTATTCCAATAACCGGAAGTATATCGAAATTGATTTTATTTGAAGGAACAATATCATTAATTCTATCTTTTCATATATAAAATTTCACTTCCTCTTTTGATATCTTGAACATGATACCAGGAAGTGAACTACGCGTAATAAACTTAGCTTTTATAATTACGAGTAAAGTTTTCATTAATTCTGACCCCACTCGAGATATGACACATGATCCTTTTCTATCTCCTCCACCTCCTTGACCTTTAACCACCAAAATTTAATAGCATCAATGCCTCTCAGAAACAACTCTGCCAAGTTCAAAATTTTTGCTTCATCCAGCCCTGAGATGTAATGCAAAATTGGCTTTATCACACAAACACGCGCACAATTTTATAAGGGTTTTATTTTACATTTTTGGACTTCAGGAGTGTCAAAATTTAACCGATTACCATGTACAGTTTGTCGTCGTTCTTTATACTTTCAGATGTTATAGAATATAACTACTCTGTCTGATTGTCTAGTGAATCTTGTTTCATTTAGAATCACCAAACATAAATAAGTCAACATTGTAAGAAAGATTCAAAAATTATTTGTTTGATATTGTCTTGGATTATACGGCGGATGAATCATGGATCATTTACATAAAATGATGAGAAACACCAAAATGTAAATTTTTCCTTCAATTAATAAAAGTTCTCTAAAATTATTATTTTTTTTAACAAATCAAAGTTTGAAGGATTTTTCTAAACTTTCCACCCTGTAAGCATCCTGTGAGGGCCTTTTTTAGCACGCCCGTTATGACTTCGGTCAGGCTTACAAAGGGACAGCCGGTTGATGAAGCATTCCATCTATAATGCCATCGAATCGGCGTCCATATTCTCGTTCTCGGAGTAAATAGCCTATATGAGCTGCACACTCCATATTAACCATTGAAAGAAAGAGGCAAGGGACCCAACACAGTGACACGTTATCCTACGGGCAAAAAATGCTATTGTCTAGGGCTCCTACCAACAGGGAACCCAAAACAAATTTTTTAAATAAAATTTTCCCAAAAAATAGCCCGAAGAAAAATGTTTAAAGACAACACTGCACGTGAAATTCTCCTGGGCTTCAAGAAGCTATAACTCGCCAATGGCCCGACGGATTACCACCAAAAATTTCAACCTGTCCGGATTCGATCCCGGGTCCACCAGAGCGAACTTAACATCTCTGCCATCCGGCCATTTAGTTTTAACTGTTTTCATTTGATTGCAACGTAACACACCTTGTGAATTACCCGGGAAATTTCTTCTGACCTTGAACATTTTAAATCGATGATAATTAATTATAACAACGCTATTTAAATTATTAATTTTTCGTTACGGTTGCTAAAATGTCGTGAAAAAAAATTAACCTTGTAACTCTTACTGTTGTTTGAAAATTAATAGTTTAACAATAAACATAATTCCTTAAAGATAAAGTTTTTATTGAAAATTCAAATTTTATTGATAATTAAAAAATATTTTTTTTCGTATCTACAAACATTTTAATCATTTACAACATATCTTATGTTAATACTGTACTTGTTTAACAATGCTTTGAAATATAGAACCACACGAAGTAGCTTTCTAGTTAAGTATTTCTACATCAACAATGATCACCATCATCCATTAATAAATAAATATTTTAGTAGTTATTGATTGTTTTTGTTTGGTTAGCCATAAATAATTTATCTTGGATCATAATTTAGGCGACAGCTTCGTGATAATCGCGTATTTATAGATCATGCCAGTAGAAGAATTAATTAATTTCAGAAATTTGCATGCAAAACTTCTTGATAACCATCATCAAACTTTTAAAAATTGAAAGAATTCTCGTTTGCCATAAAAGATTTTTAGTGAAATTTTAGAGATAATGCAAGAACTCGAATAATGTTTCTTGATAAAATCAGTTTTATATGGTTCATCTTTAATGTTTTCTTTCTTTACACAGCTTTAAAATTTTTATTTCCATCCTGAAACATTAAAAATTTATTGCCATCAACTTCCATATACAATTTTTCATTATCCATAAACATTTCAATGCCTTCTACATCAAGTAAATGTGATGATAAGCAATTGTTAATTGTTCGTAATAATAATAATAAATTACTTTATAAATGGAATTTTAAATGGTAAACCTTTAAATTTAAAATAAGTACCGGCTGCTCCTATACCAGAACCCGTAAATAGCATAAGAATCGATACGAGTGCCATAATACCCGGGCTGTGCCTAATTTCTTTATTTTGTTTTAGTTTAGAAGGAATATCTGTTGGGTTTTCTGTAGTACTTTGTTCTTTAGCGGTATTTTCGTTAGTGCTGCTGGTACTTCTGGTACTGCGCGTGCTACTAGGATTATTGGTCCATTTTGTGAACTTTCCTGGCTCTGTACTTTCCCTTATGGTTTTAGATTCGGTAATACCTCCACCAGTTGTAGTAGAAGTGGTGGTTGTGGGTATTGTAAAACCTTCAGTTAACGAGTTTGGAACCGCTTTAAATATTATTTTCTATAAAATATAAAGGAAATGCAACGTGAAGAATTAAATCTATTGACAATTTTTAGATACTGTCAGAGAAAAACTTACTTTTCCAGCCAACCATTCGATTATTAAATTACCTCCATTAATAACTGATTCCAATGCTGATTTAGCAGCTTGTAACGAGAGTTCTGTTGATTTAACTTCTTTTTTCAGTTCTGGATGCACGCCAAGAAGCGTAAACATCACCACCATTTTGTCCGCTTGGATAAACTTTACATAAACTTCAAATTTAACATGTAATTTGATTGCAGGACCATTATAAAGTAATTTTACTCACCGTTCTAAGATGCGTGATCCTTAAGGAAGTGAAATTAAGCCCTATTTTATGATTGATTGTTGATTTCCATAAGGATAAAAAATTGACGTCGTTGGTTGCATTGTTTAGAGTTTCTCTTGATGTTTTATCGACTTAAATTTTAATCGTTTGAATGACAAAATTAGTACTTTTATGGCGATGTTTTGTTAATTAACATGTTGCTTAATACTTACAGGTAGCTAGAAATTGTAATTTTAAGCGATTCCCTACGAAACAGGGTGAAATATCGAATGCTAATGTATCCAAAGAGGCAACGGTATGCTGTTTCATATTGTAAAAATTGTAAATGAATTTCTCACCCTTAGTAAAAAAGTCGCTATATTTTGGTTGTGATGACTGAAATGAGAACATAAATAAGTAAAAAAATCTTGTTGTTACTGTAAGAAAAAAAGACATTTTGAAAGTCGCCATTTTGAAATTAGTCAACAGTAGCTTTGTCCATAGATTATATTAATAATACTGTAATTTATTTCTTAATTATATTAAAAATTTTAAATGATTGATATAAAATTAATAACTTAGAACTGTTTTAAGACGTTTGTTGATACTTTTTTATGGTTTAAATTACCTAAAGTTACCAGTTAAAAAAGTTAGGAAAGTTCTTATATAATCTTTAAATATAATTTAAATTATTAAAACCCTATAATTTAACATTGTAGTATATTATTATTATGATTATTATTGGACTGCAATTTGAAAAAAATTGTAGACCTATAAATTACTAATAAATTTAAATGTAGTAGAATCTTCAATAATGTCCACCTCTAAACGGCGGCTGTACTTTTAGGAACATTTCTTCGGTGAAATGCATACAAAATAACTTTCAGACAATAGCTATTTATTAAGTTTCTTTCAGTGACCGTTGCTCGGAGGTTTGACTCCATATAAATACGAAAAAATATGAGAGATTTCTTGATACAAAACTTACCTCTAATACATTTATTTCTAAATTGATTATAGGGATTTCATCTTTCTCTAAATTCAACTTTTTTCCCTAAAATTATAATTAATATTTTAATTTCGTAATAAAATTTTACAAATTTTATCATAAAAAAATGCTTACTTTAGCATTAGCAATGCACCATTCCCATAAAGTAGTTATTGGTCTAGCAAAAGAAGGCCAATCTATTCTTTCTCCTTGCCATACTGAACACGGAATTCCACGTTTCTCTGTCTATAATTTATTGAAATTTAATTAAAGAAATTTAACTTCTAGAAAGTAATTCCATTACTTTTATTTTATACTTACATCTCCAATATAAATCATAGAAGTGCCATCTAAACCAAAAAAATTGCCAATATTCCACATTGCATTATCCTCAGGTTCGATTAAACTATGGGGTCTAAATAAATATTTTTCAAGTGGGGTAACTTCACATTTTCTACTAATTTTCCATATTGTATAAACTGCTCCTATAAAATCATATGAAAGTTTAATTTACCTAGGATTTATCTAGAATATTGTAGAATTTATTGTGGATGAATGAGATTTTTACCTTGCTTGTATGAGATCACTTTAGTATATGATTCACCCTCGTGTAAATGAGTGGGTTCTACAGGAGTCTGATCGATTCTTACAAGGCGATTTTTGATATCCCACCAAATCTGTAATTAAAATTTTAAAGAAAATTTCATGTTATCTAGAAAAATTCCAAAATTACTATGAAAATATAACTGAAAAGTAATCATTTATCCGTTAGCATCGATCATTTTCTCTTGATATACAGTATATAAATAGAATTCTATACTGAATAAATATCAGTGACAGTGTCAAGCATTCGACTATTGTAAGTGAACAGAAAAGAATATGACACCTGCTGCTAGATTGTGTCATATTGATGATGGAAAGAAAAGGAAAATGCTTACAAGACATGCAATGGAATTTTTTTTTTTTTTTTGTAAAGGAACAACAAGGAATGCATTATTCAACTTTATCAATTGAAAGGGGGACATTGTTCGTGGAGACTAAATTGTTACAATCAATAAAAATTCACTATATAAAATACAGTGATTTGTTGAATTGCAATGAGCTATCAACTTAATAGAATACAAAGAAAACATGTAAGTAAATAATATATAAATCAATTTAATCTGTTCTCTTCTTATTTCTTTATAGAGAATGTACTGTACTCTTTTTAATATAATTGTTCTTAATACTTGATCTAGTACAAGTTACTACTAGGTTTTGGTTAGTAAGTAAGTTCATTTAGAACTAGTTCTAAGTGATTTAGTTCATATAATAGTTTTTTTTTTGTTAATTAGTTCCTTACTTAATTGTAAATATTAAGGAAAAACTTACATCAGTAGTGAAAAATGTTTGATATTGTGGTAAAATAAATTCCATATTAAACGAAAACACATTTATATTTCCTAGTTCTTGAGGGAATGGAAGTGAACGTTTGAGTCCTATACATGATATACCTTGAGGAATCTAGATAAAAAAAAAATACTTATATAATTTTTCAATTTTAATTGGAAAAATAAAATAAATATAAATATTTATTCTTACTTTAAATGCTTTCTGATCAACAGTATCGGGTACAAAGTAATAGATGTTTACAGTCTGGTTGCGAATTATTGTAAGGTCGCCATCTTTCTCTGTTATGTTAAGGTAATAAGCTAGAGGAACCATGTTGCCTGTTGGTGACAGTCGGTTTTCTATTGCCAAAAAAGATTATAAAAAGTAATATTAAATAAGTATAAAATTTACAGGAGAAAATATTGAAAGTATGAGCTTTTACGTAGCATAAATATTAATTTATTGAATTATTTTAAGTATATAAGAGCCTGTACTTCTAGTACGAGTATTTAGTTCATTGCACTAAGCATTCAATTAAATTTACTGTGAAACATTCTAAATATATTTGACGGTATCTAAAATTCAATATTTTGCATCATTCTCCTTACGTGATTACGACACGCAACTTTTTAAATCACTTGGCTTAAACATTAATTTCTTATTGGCCAAGGAAGTGATGACTACATTTCCGCCTCGTTCGTTTCGTCCGGAAAGTATACTTTTACGTCAATTTGACGTCATTTTTGAAACTTGTTCATTGTAAAACTGATGAGATGACGTAGAATTGACGTATTAACGACACTTTTGCGAATTCGGGCCTAGTAATACTAGCTAAGGAATTAATTTAGGATAGAACTATTTTAAAATTGATTCTAGTTCTAGTTTTACTCTGACAATTTAATTAATAATTACTGGAACTATGAATTATTAATTAACGTATCAAACTAACATCTGTAAACAGCTACTGTTAAGTGGTACAATGGTTATAGCTTAGATTAATTAGGCTTACTGTTCTAAACAGGTGTTAAAAATGAAAAGAATTTCTCACCAGTCCAATAAGCATCCACATATAAAGTCACAGTTTTATTTTGTACTTTATAATTAAGACGATGTTTCCATAAGGTAGCAGCAGAATCACGATACACAGTATTTGTTGGTTCATCTTCTATCAAAGTCAATTTATCGAGTTTCAATAATTGTTTCAGTGGAAACGTTACATAATTTTTGCTTTCGTATGGTCTGATGTCCACAGCATCCGATGAAACCCAATCATCAAAAGTATATACAGAACATTCTACAGAAAAAGGATTACGTAGAAGTCATCAATTTACGTCATTATATACTCTGCAAAGTGTTTGAAAAACTCAAAAAGAAAAAAAATACAGCCCAAAAGTCCGTTAACCGTTATAAAAACTAAATCGCCTGAAATTCGCGCGTTATAAGGAAAAACGTTGTTCTAAACTCGGTATACGGCTCAAGGAATATGCAAAACCAAACAAGGTTAACCGACTTTTGGAATCTGGTAAACACGAACGAACCATTTTCGTAGTATTGAAGTGTCTGTTGGTTTGTCAAATCTTGGAAGAAAGTGACGTTTTCGCCACCTTCCCAAAGTATAAAACTCATTTTATTTTCCTTTTGGTCATAATTTTCTTCAAAAAATAATTGCATGATTTGATTCCCGTATTTGGCCAAACTTTCCACTAATTCCGCTTGTGCCATGTAACTTCCTATTATTTTGGGTGGATCTGAAATTATAAATATGAAATTTGTTTAATTGAATTTCACTTCCTGTGCGCTAAATGTATACATGGTATACGCAGTAAATTATACGAACCTGTAAAATAATTAAGTAGAATTACTGTATAGAATAATTTTTCTGTAGTATAAAGTATACATATACAGTAGAGCATCGATTATCCGACTCCCGATTAACCGCCACCTCGGTTAACCGACCGTTCTAGTCGGCAAATTCAAATGTCCGCTAGTGATGTGGCGCTACAATNATTTGTGCTGTATTAAGAATTACTTTATTTTTCACTATCTGAAGGGAATTTTTTCATTTTGTGGTTATCATTCTTCTGTGAGTCATTTGTACACATATTAGTGTTTGGATTTGTGGTGTCAAATTTCTTCTTTTCTCTCAACTTTTCTTTGGAAATATTTAGTTTTATTTATATACTTTCTTGCAAACCTGTTTCATTGTATTTTGTAAAAAAGTTTGAACAAGTTCACAAATTTATTTCAAATGACAATAGTAGCTCATTTTAGCAAATGAATCTTCTGTCACTGCCTACAATATACCAAATCCCCAAAACACAACATAATTAACTTCATTCAATTTTTCCTATTTTGGAAATAAATTAATAAAACAATTAAATTATTCAGAATATATGATTTAAATAATGATATGCACTGGCCAAAACTGTCAGCATTATCATTTAATTACTGATATTCTAGTGAAAGGCACTAATTTACTTGATCACTTATGACGTAAAACCAAATAATGCGTGAATATTTTGAAAGTACAGTATTTAAAAAATCTTAATATTAATTCCCATCCACTTTCAATGTTTCTTTGAAATGTAATTATTGCCTCTTAAAGTAGACCACTTTAAATTGTTTTGTTAGATTGCTCTACTAAGAATTACTTTTTTCACTATTTGAGAGAAAAAAAATGGATTTTTGTTGCAAAGGTCAAAAGAAAAAAAATGACAATTTGTTGAAACCACAGTGAAAACAATTACAGACAACAATTAAACAATTAAAATACGGAAAGAATCAACTTTGGTATTAACCAACAGACATCAGCCATTGATCGCTTAGTTTTGGCAAATGAATTCCAGTTTCTTTCTCATCTGTTAAATTTGTTGCTGCCGTTATAAACAGTGTTATAGAAGCTTCATGTTCTGGTATTGGAATATGAGGAAGTTTGCTATAGTAGTTGTTAAATGCATGATTCTTTACAGTTAATGCAGGTTATAAAAAATTAACACAATTAACTGAAAAGTTGTTTTGCCATCTAGTGAGAGAAAATAAAATAAAATTTACATGTGTGACATGTTAAACAAAAAGTGATGACATTAAGGAATGTGCTGATTGGTTTAACCGAACAATATCACGCATGACATTGCTCTCAATACTGTACTCGCCAACTAATGAAATCCTGCTTAGTTTTTGACTCTATTCAATGTTTCTGTTGGTGGATTTGCTGATTCATAATTTTCTTAAGATACTTCATGTGTTGTGGTGTTTTCCATGTTATTTTTCCCAAGAACAAATGTTTGCTCTCAGAATTTTCTTTTATGAAGTTACTAACAGAGCTGCTCAGCATGCCTAAGTGAAAAATAAGGACAAACATTAAAATTTAAAATTGTATTGAAATTTTGATTATTTATCCTGGATAGTGTTGGGTATATTTGATAGTGTATATGTATTATACTGATGTTTTGTCTTCTGAATGCAATAAGTGTAAACGATTAGTTTTGAATAATTTTATATAGAAAATTTATTAATATATATCTATATAATTCAATATAATCAATACTTTACATGTACAACTACATGAATATTAACATATTCAGGTGGTTACACACATGCAAATATCAAACAGCTGTATGACATACAACTGCTACCAGTCTGAAAAATGTTTATTGTCTATTAATTGCTTTAATTAAGTATAATAATAATCTTTAAAATTTAATTCAAACTTTTGTATGTGAATCTTTACAAAAAAGTTATTAAAAAAAATCTTTGTGCAAGTCAATTATTAAATGAGAGTTTTGTGATGCAAAAAATTTGATAGAACAGCAGATTTTTTAAAATTTTCTTCCCTGCACTTTCTAAATCTATTTTTTCATGTGCATGGGACCTATCATACTTTGTCTACCTGTATACACATGTATACTTCTAGTATTGTGTTGCACTTCCCGAAAATAACAAAAACACAAAAATTATGGAGATTAAAAATAAATTGTTTGCATATTTACAGTTTATAAAGATTAAGGTTTTAATATGCCTAAAAAATATTTGAATCAACTGAAAATTGATTAAAATCTTGTTCCCTAGAATGATATCCTTAGCCACCTTTGCCATTTTTCTGAATTTTCAAGTAAAATTTAAATCCATTATTGTGAAAAATCTTTAAATAATTTGGAAGAATTTGAAATTTAAAAGTGATCATTAAGGAATGTTAAGTAATTTGGATAACTTAGCTGCTGAAATGCTAATACAGTAGAGCATCGATTATCCGACCCCCAATTAACCGTCACATCGGTTAACCGACCGTTCTAGTCGGCAAATTTCAAATGTCCACTAGTGATGTGGCACTACAATATTTGGCTATGTCTTGTTTTTGTTAAATTTTTGCGTGTTTCAGCTGACAACACTGGCTCGACCATGAGAGGCCAGTATTTAAACGAGATTTAATTTTCTAATGATGAGTGGTTGTTTGTTTTCTGAGCAATAAAATAATTTAAAAATAATTTTTAACGATACAATAGCTATGATTATTATTTTAAAAAAATTTGTTAGGCTTAACATCAATGAAAATTCAACATGAAGTATGTTAATAGCGATATACTAATATACTAATTACATGGTATATACTAATATGCTATACTAATAATGTATTTTTTCATTCTTTTCGATTATCCGATTTTTTCAGTTATCCGACCAACCCAAGTCCCCAATTGAGTCGGATAATCGATGCTCTACTGTAATTGTATTTTGTGATAAAAATTCAGTAACTTTCACTTAGTTAACATGATTATTCATAATTTTTTAATGTTTTCTGGTAGATAAGTCTATGATAAATCTGAAAAATAAAATTTTACTTAAATTTATTAATTTAAATTAACTCGGTCAAATATATGCCAAGTTTATATTTGATTGCTTATTCCATTTTAAAAAAATAATAGAAAAATTGCTATTTATGATGAATAAGTTAAATTTTGTATAGTGTTTGTTTAATATAAAGAATAATTTTTGACTATTTAAACAATTAATTTAATAGAACTTATGGTTAAAATGTGGACATTTTGAAACAGTAGATTTAAAATATTAGAAAAAAAAAATTCAATATATTGCCGTTTAAAAAATAAATGCAATTTTACAATTGCTATCAGTTGATTGTATTTATTTTTGAAAAAGATCAGCATCTTTCTACAGGGTTTGAATTTGGTTGTTAGTATTTTATTTTTGTGAACACAATTTATAAATGAAAACTAAGAAGAAAAAGTTTCCATTTGTTCAAAATGTCTGTTCCTAATGCTAGTTTGTCATCAGAAATCAATATATCGAATAAAATTGGTGAACCGATATGCAATACATAAATCTACTTGTTTTGTTTTCAGAATGGCAAGTTTATTTTTTCTCACCATTTTTATCTAATAAAATTGTTTTATCTTATGCAAGATTAATATCAAATATAGAAGTTTTTTGCAATTAATCTTCCATTATTAAGCTTGTATAAAAAAAGATATACATAAAAATTGTCTCTTATATACTTATCATTTAAATGTAGGAGGAAAAAAAGCTTAGAAAATTTTAACTTCAAGTATGGTACATTGCATTTTAATGACAAATTTAACGGTGAAAGTTGTAGCCATAAAGTGGAAATAATTTATATACTGATTCATGTTGTTTGTGTCATTTAGATGAAATTAGACTGTGATGTTTTAAAATGCCAATCTAGCTTTCTTTAATGAGACTCGTAGATAAATTCAGAGGTGTGTTTACATAATTTTTTTCCATTTTTTATTCATTTGTGGCATNTGCAAGTACAGTACTGCCATTTGCAAGTGCAGTGCTTGTACTTCTGCAGGTACAGTACTGCCATTTGCAAGTGCAGTGCTTGTACTTCTGCAAGTACAGTACTGCCATTTACAACTGTTCGTTGTAAATGTTTTAAATTCGTTTTAAAATTCATCTGAATAATTTTAAAATAAATACAATGTGTAGAAACTATAATTTGATTCAAAACAAATCTAGAAATTTGAATAATTTCTTTTGTATTTTTGGATATTATATTATCGGCTTCTGTTAAAAGGTATAAGAAGTTAAAATATATTGTAATAATGTTTATCTTTCCGCTATTTTTCTTGAAAATTAAAATAATTATAATTAATTTGAGATGTTTATAACAATTTTATTTAGAAACCTCGATTAAAAACATGCCACAGCGCTTAAACATCAACTGGTGTCACCTTATTCGTTCTTTTCCACATGATTAATTAATTTAATTACTTTAATTTTCAAGAAAAATAGAGGAATCATTAACTTTTCTTCGAATTTCACTTGTTTACAACGTCAAGAACCAATATAAAAATACACGTAATTCGATATTTTAGTTTAAATTAATTAATTATGAGATAAAATGTAAATAAGTGACACCAGTTGATGGTTAAGCGCTCTTGTATTTTTCTACACGTTTGTAATTGAAGTTTATAAATAAAATTTCAAATTAGTTATCGACTAAAATATTGATTTAAGAATATATTATACGGATTCTTGACGTTGTAAACAAGTGAAATTCGAAGAAAATTTAATGATTTACGTTTACAGAACTTTTATAAATTGTTTAATTATTGACTTTTCTATTTTTGCAATTCGTTTGTTAGTTTGTTAAGAGGATTAAATTAATTCTATTTTAATAATTGAAATGTTTTAACGTGCCGACAAAGTTAGTCATTTGAGTTTTCGCATGATTTACAAGTTTAATTTCGAATGTATAGATGAAAGTTTTATTATTTAAAAACTGAGAAATTATAAATTAAAAATAAAATATATTGCAGTTTTAATCGAAAATAAAATTATTTTAAGAAAATTTTAATATAATTATACATTTCAACTTAAGATTGTTTTTTCTCACCAGGGGGATTGAATATTATTATCCCCCTGGTGAGAACAAATTGTTAAAAATATTTTAATATTTATATAATTTAAAAGAGTTTTTTTTCCTTGGAGGATTGAAAATTATTATTCCATTGTTGAGAAAAAATTATAAATAATAATAATAATATTTCTTTTAATAATTATGAGTTTTTTTAAAATATGAATTATTTAATTTTTCAAAAAATAAACATTGATAAAAATAATGTTATTAAATATAATGCCAAAAAACAATAATTTATATTGAAATTATAAAAATATCGCAAAGAAAATAATAATTATAATTTAAAAAAAATTAAAGTTTTAAACGTAGATATGAATTTTCCCCCTTCAAACATTAATATTTTTTTATGAAATTAAAAATTGTTCCGATCTCTTGTCACGAGGTTGCAAATATTATATTAATGTTAAAAGATTTCAATTAAATGAACATTAAAATTTTAATAATAACAAGTAAATTGGCAAATTATTTGGGAATTCAATTAAAAGATAATTTAATTAGCTCAGCTTAAAGATCGGCTTTTGATATTTGAAAATTTAATATGAAATTCTATAAATTAATCATTGTTTATTATTAATATTGCTATATTAATGTAATCATTTTAATTTATCAAACATTTTACTCATTTTTAAAATTGGTATATCGAAAAAAATAAATAAATTTCGCGTCATTAATCACGAATTATTTTGTCATGCTTACGAGCGATAGAGTAGATAATCTCTTTAAAAACATCAAGAATTTTAATTAAAAAATAGCTTAGAAAGAAAAAAATAATTGTTCACTTTTAGATTAATATATAATCAGTTCAAAAATTGTTTTTTTTTGTAGTAACACCGTAATAATAATAATAATATAGGAACATAATGACGTAATTAAAAAGTGAGTCGTGATTCCCAGGGGGCGCATGTAAAAAAATTTATATTATTTATGACGTNATTTATATATATATATATATATATACTGTATATATATATATGTGTGTGTGTGTGTAATTCTTTTTTGTTTTAATAAAAAAATCAATATGCGAATGAAACAAATCTGACTTTTAAATGAAACGACCTACAAAGTTTTACAATGAATAAAAATCTATTATCCGATTCCCTTGTATCGTTTGAAGTATTTTTATTGATTCAAAAAGATTTTATGGCTTTCATTTTTCATACATTTTTTTTCCAAATCACAAAAATGCAGGAAATATTCCTATTTGATAAATGTCGACTCTATACTTTTTATAATGATAGTTTCTGTTTTGTATCGATATCTTTATACTTTATTTTGAGCTTTTAATATTGATATTATTTTTAGAAATTTGTAATTTTTTCATAAGTTTTATACATTATCTTATCGAGAAATTAGCTACATAAATATCAATTCAATGAATAATTAATGCTACTTTTTTGGTTTCAAATTATTATTATTTTATGTAATTAATAGAGTTTGTGCATTTTTATAAAACAATTATATATATAATCCTTATAATCTTTATTTAGGTATAACCAGTGGTGATATTCAGCGGGTTCGCACAGGTTCGGCCGAACCCGTTGTTAACATTTTCAAAATTTTCCGAACCTTGTTAAACATATGTAACATTTCTCAATGGTTTGATTCTTTTAAAAATATTAAAATATACGTATTATACTCTGTAACACTACTAAACTAGAGCCTTCCGATGCACTATTTGAGCGAAAAAAAAAAATTGTTAAGGAAAAATTTTCTGTTACGAACCCTTTGTTAAATATTTCGAATGTCATCCCTGGACCGTATAACCAATATATATATATATATATTGCGGTTATATATAGGAAAGAGTTTATAATAAACTTTCACATATATAAAAGTTATACTATATTTAAAGGTCGTACTACATTTAATTGCAAAATTATAAATTGTATCGATAATTTATACTGTATTAATTACTACATTCTATAATATATTTTATAGCCAATTTGATTTATAAATTAAAAAATTCAAAAATTAAATTGAAAAACTCTTAATTATGTTACTTATTTAGTAATTTAATGCACATATATCTTTAAATATTAATAATTCAATACTTTATCCTGTATAACATCAAACTTATTAACAAAATTATAAATTTCTCATTTAACTTTGAGTAAACAACTACATTAATTTAATGCTATTACTTCGCTGTAACTGTTTCTATACCTTAGTAAATGCATCATGCCAAATTTTATATCTTCAAAAAATATATTTTGCCTATGATTAATGTTACAGTTGCTTTATCTATCGAAGGATAAAGGAGAACTAAAACTGGAAATGATCAGATACGATTCACTCTATACATTTTTATTTACGAGAAAGTAAATGTATAATGTGATATATGAAAGAGGTGAATGGTAATTCATCATCAGAGTAAAGCAATACTGTATCAAGCTAAGTGCTTTTGGATATAACACCGAGTCCCTTGGACATATTGAATATGAATGTTTTATGATAAATTCTTCATAATTAATTTCTATGTTTAGAATTGTTCTATCATATATTGTTAATAAATAAATAATTTAGATTACCTTTCGCTGAATTGACTAAAGCGGCGAACAGAATTAAAATCGTCGTAATTCGTAGCATTTTTTAAAATTTATAGACAAATATTCACATTACTGGAAAATAAAGCCGTTAAGCCGTTAAGTTAGGGGCGTTTAAGGAAGATACAGACTAAACTTTAATCTGTGTTGCTTATCAACAAACGCTTATATATATACACATTTTTATTAATCAGTTTATTTTATCTTTCAATTGTTATACTGATTTCTCTATTTTTGTTAGTAATATAATAATTTTAAATAGGTAATTTAAATAATATATGCGTTATTTTTTATCAAATATTGAAAGAAGATATAATCGACGATGCCCGAGTGTTACTAGTAAATTTGTACAGTGTTTTCTTTACTTATGACGGCATTCTATTGCCAATTTTCTTATCGGATAAACCATTTTTTTTAAATTCTAAGCTAGTACGCTTATTAATACTGTTCTTCTTTCTTTTGTCGAATAGTTTAGATTTCAGTTTTCTATAAAATTTTATTGATTAGATGAGGAGAAAACAGAACATGAGTTGCACCTGTACCTTGTAGATGAACCCTACGGAATCAATACAAAGCAATGTTGATAACTTGTTTATTATTTTGAAAAAATAACTTTAATGATTTAAACAAATAATAAATAAATAAATATTTTTTTATATATTTCTTTTTATTTTAGGGAAAGATATACTACATAATCATATTTTTCGCGAGTTCAAAACATGATTAAGTTACAAAACTAAGTGCTATTTTCGATTTAATTTTAATGGAGAAGATGACTTATTATAGTTTATAAAATTTGTAAAATTCAAATAAATATATGACATCTTAAACATTTATTTCTATTAAATATAATAATAATAATAACAATAACGGATGATTTTCAGAATGCACATGAATGAGTGAGAAGATAAAAGTAAGATATGCAACCGTGATGTACAATTCAGATATATATATATATTTATTTATTTATAAAAGTGTTAATAATGTTGATAGGAAATGAAGAAATGGTGGGAAAGGTGCAAGTGATCAAAACAATCACAAAAATTAATATTTGTAAGACGATCTTGTTTTTACCCTCACGAAATGACCCGCTTCCGTTCTCCAACTATCGAATTGTCTTCCAGTATTGTGAATTGTCTGCATAAAGAAGATAACAACAATAATATTATTAGTCAGTAATATATGTTTTACGTATTAAGTATAATAAAAAATTTATTTTGGACGATTTAAATACAATTTAAAAATTATAATACAAAACGTATTGGTATTTAAACAAGTATACGGGTAGATTATAATTTGGAAATCACAATGTAAATCAAATGATTCCTAAAGTATTAACCATTACAAAAATCTCTTTACGGAATTCAAGTAAATATATTATTAAGTTGTATAACCAGCTTGATTAAATAAATAGACGTGTATATATTTACCTTCTAATTCATCCTAAGAGAATGCATGGAAAAATAGAACAATATTAAACAATAGCATTAATTATTATTATTATAATACAGAAACGAATACAGGTTTATTAATAGGTAACTTAGTAACTTATCAATTGACAAATAATGTCAAAATGCTGCAGAGTTTAAAGTATTGATATAAACAAAGAACCAAACAGAAAAAAAATATTTGGCTTCAGGTAAGAACTATTCCATATCCGAATGACATGAAATTTGTTTCCACTTGGGGCCAAATATATCTTTTCTGCTATCTAGATGTAAGTTTCTTTTCTTGAATGACAATTTAATTTATATACAAAAGTGTATATTTTGAAATACTTTTAAAATCAATACGTAGAGGAAAAATATTTTTGTTTTTAAAGCAGAGCTTTAATTATTCATATTATTATATTACTATCAATATACAGTATACATATTTGATTATATATTTAATATTAATATGTATATTAATACAATTGTGATACAGTTAATGACACTGATGCGTATATTGATGATTTATTCAAAAATAATTAATCATCGAAGGAATGTCGCACTTATAATATCAGCAAGGTCACAACTCTTTTCGATGACACATGATACCAAATGGACAACCGTTTTCCTGCTTTCTTGTATACAGTAAATAATCTGTGTACACTGCATCTGGAAATGTAAGTAAGTTGGCTGTTGAAGGTAATCAACATGCTTTTACGGTGTTTTTGCGATTTTGGATAGTTGATTTTATTCAATTTATGTCTGGATTTTCTAAATCACGAAACCTGTGTTCGTGTATTTGTTTTACTTAAAGCCTGCCATGTTGAGATCATTTGAGCCTATTCGTATTCTACGGCGCTTCTTAGAAATAGCAACCGTATTGTAGCAAGAGGGACATGGAAAGTTGAGGTTTAGAAACACCGTGTGCAACTTGCTCCAATAGGAATTAGCATTTGCAACAGCGCAATATCTGCTCCATCATCAATTCCTACTAGTCTTACGAAATCCAAGAAGACCTTAGTATCTCAAATTCGTAAGAAGACAGGTGATAAAGGTTCAACAGCAGACGGCAACGGAGATGAGCGATGTTACAGTTCTGCGATTTACTTATTACAATTCTCAGAACACAAACGATTGGATACATTGGTTCGTAGATGTGTATTTTGCCAGATTGGAACTGTTTTCAAGGTCCCACGCGTGTCAACAAAGTTTGAAGTGGGCCGCACAATAATTTTGCTTTAAATACATTTCATTTTCATTAAGACAATTTACTCAAATAAGGGAAAGATACACATAATGTATGGTCCTTGATAATTTCATTTATCTCTTATAATCTCTTATTTATGCACGGTGCAATAAAGATACGTTTTGAGTACATGCAAATGTTTTATTTCTATGCTTCTGAAATATAAAACTACGTGCGAGAACGTAATTGTGCTCATTAAACTTCAAACAACTTATAAGTTATACCATTTATTATTATTTTGTAATCTAAAATAAGGATTTTTCTACATAGAGTCATAATGAAACTTTTGAAAACGTATTTAATAATTTGTTCATAGTTATTTCAGCATCAATAAAGATATATCACGACGTTATAAATATCTGTATATTCAGAAGTGAATATAGTCATTTAGTTCACACACTTCCCATTGATAAAATTCAGCTAATAAAGTCTCAAATTTAATCTAGTGGTGCAGAAATTTGAATATACTGTAATTTGATTTAAATCGAATTAGAAAAGATGTTGGCGATTTTCGGCCGGTCACGTGACCAACGGTACTTTCACGTGATCTATTATTAGTATCTTTCGAGTTGCATGATAATTTGAATCTTAAATTAAACGTCTTAACGCGTAAATTTCTTAGAAAAAATATATAAATCTTGTACTACCTTTGTGACGTTTGTATTTTTTTAAAAATGTTTTATATTTTGTTACGTGATCATTTATGTTATCACGTGCTTCACTTTGACGATATTATTCGTAAACAAGATATTAAAAATGTGAATTTATTGTAAATGTCTTACTTTGTACTGTACGTTAAAATTATTTTTTGTTCATTAAAATTTAGCTAACTATTGCATAAAACATGTGTCAAGTCATTCGCAGGTGTCTACCAGTTCGGATAGTCTACATTGTTGTGACAATATTATGATCCACATGATTTAGTGCAGAACAGGGCGTGCCCACCAGTGGCTAAGCGGTCTTCGTTCGGTCATGGGTTCGCGCCGTACTCGGACGGGCTGGCTACGTGGAGTTTTCCGGGTTTTCTTCACGTCTGTAACGCCTAAATAGGGGCCAATTTCCCTTAAAAAGACCCGAAAAGCGTCCCCCAGCCATATTACCCAAGTGTTGCGTTGCCAAAATTGAACAAACAAACAAACAATAACAAACTGCAGAACAACTCCCATCTTCTCGACGGCCCTCGCCGAGAGGAATGGGAGCTGGAGACCTTTCTCCGGACCCGGAGTGATTCTTACTCCTATAAAATTAATGTTATTTTCTCTTAGTATTCATACGCAGAATATATTTATACGTATTTAATTCATTCAAAGAAAACGCTGAAGAGATCCACTAAAAGGCAAAAAGGACCCATACAAGCTCTCGATGTCCCTGGTGAAGAATTCTATTTAAAAAGGTTTATTAAAAATTATTAGTCTAGGCTATGTACTGTACAGTACATGACAGTTCAGGATGTAAATTTTCACGTTGTAAGTAGATCTTTTCTATGACGTGTGGATTAATACTGGTTCACCAGACTAATTAATTAATTATTATTATTAACTGTATTAGGAAAAAAGAAAAGAAGGCGGATAAAAAGTCGAGGAATCCTAGAAAGAATTGGCTTGAGACCCCTGGTTTAGTGCTTTGTTAAATATTAATATCTATTTTAAATTTAATGCTAGTACAGTTCTTTGCTTTTAACAAGTCATTATCATGTCAGCTGGACGCCAAAAACTGGTGTCGTCGTCTTTCTTCTATAATATTAAGCAGACGGCTTGATACAACTGTTAAGAATTTTGGACTAGCCTTAATCAAGATAAATTCATTCAAATTGCGTTAAGTTCAACCAATAATATTTTTCGTGAAAATAAAAATGATGAATCTATTAGAAATATTGTGTTTTAAAAGAAGTTTTGCGATGTACAGTACAGTACAGTACAGTACAGTACATTAAAATTTTCTTCAGTAAAATATTGTACTCGATAGTTATTTCATTTAGTTTCACTTTACTTAGCTAAACATCATATAATTTGTCATTTTAGACGGTCAAATTTACTGGCATATTTTATTAGTAGTCTATAACATAATACACAGTATCATAAAATTTTTTACTTACTTTATCTATATCGTAGACCAAATCTGCAGCTAAATTCTCGTATGCCATTTGGTTCGATCTTCCGTTTAGTGTTACATTTTTCTCGAAAATTTCTTCGTCGTCCTGGAGTTTTGTGTTATATACTCTGCGAGTGTAATGTCGTTCGTATATCTGAAAAAATGTTATTACATTTTAAGAAATCTTTATGTTATATTCTACTGTTTATAAAAAGCTCATAAATCATTAAAGTTTTATAGAAAATTTAAAGATGAGTTTGTAATCGAAAGCGATAAAAGATACACGATATGGCTTTAAAAGATTTTTATGATATGACTTAAAACATTTAGTAAAAAAAAAAAATAGTAAAATTTTATGGATGACATACTAAAAGACGTACCATATATA